AGTACGCGGAGTATCTGGGGAGCTGGAAGATGAGAACTGGCGACTTTCTAGTACAACTTTAGTACAAGCGCCAAGCAGCATACATCCGCCCACACACTGATACACACTGACGAACAAGCGCATACACACAAACACACACCTCACGTACACACAGAGACCCTCACGCCTTATATCTGTCTCGCCTGTCTCTTCCCCACGCTCACTCTTCCGCACTTTACCCCTGCAGCCTCAATCTTTCGAAGTTGTTCACATGTGGGGTTATCCGGTCCTATAATTCCAGTTCATCACACCAACACTGGCAGGAAAAATGGGAATACCAATGATGAACTCGAGGTTATCCATGAGCGGTGGCACTCACTCAAAGGCAGCATGCCTTTCACGAATTGGACGCAGAAGCTTTGTTTACGGTGCCTCCTACCACAGTTCGGGCACTGCACCAAGGAAGCAAAAGTTGGACGCTTGATGGAGTGTGTATATTGCCTGTTGCATGAAGATCCAGACCCTGCACGGCAAGCTGTGGGGGAAAACCTCTTTCAGTTTGCTAAAGCCATGCACATGGCCTTGGGGACAGCTTCCGCTCAACGGGACCTTTGGAAAGACGCGACCTACAACAAGCTCATGGCCGAAGGTTGGTATGCTATTTTGAGGTTTGCAGAATTTTGACCTGAAGCTTTGGAAACTTTTCTCATAGCATTTTCCGTAAAAATTTCTTTCCAATTTCACGTGCCAGCCACTCAGGAACACCAAATGGAAATCGAGTTTGGGCATGAGGAAGTGCAGACAGAAACCCTAGAGCTGCCGCTGCAGTGATCCCTGGAATCAAGGATGTTGATCCTTTGGAATGAAGGGTGGCTTCCATGGCTTCTATGTAAAAAAATTGGAATCGAAGCTATGGTCGCCCTTTGGAAGCAAAATGCTTCAAATCTTTCAAGCTCTGCTTGCAGAAATCCCTTTGTGAATCCACAAAGGCCAGATGGACATCCGAGGCTCGCCCGGTTACCGTGTGGTGTAGCCTCGCCACACCTGTTTTGACTGAAGGTCTGATGCGCGAATCTCGCGGTGAAAAAGTATCTCCTCAACAGCGCGCGCGCGCGTGGCCTCGTCTTTTTGGGTACAACTTCTCAGACAAAAATGGAACCCCGATTTACCGACAGATTTTTGGCATGGGCGAGCCTCATGCGTCGGAGTTTTCTGCAAAACCTTTGTGCGGAACAAACGGCCCACCAAAAAATCAAAAACGACCACCCCCCAGAAAAAAAAATGTGGTGATTTTCTAGAATTACAAAACAGGGCAACGTGGGGAACTTATAAACACGATAAGTTCAGTTAATAAATGCAGTTAATTAGTGGCTAAGTTCTACTTATAATATTAGTTATAATTGGATAAGCGCAACACCCGTTATAGAAGACATTTGCTCTTCACCAAAAATCGCTGCAACTCGAGGCTTGCGAATCTGAATAGCAATGGGGCTCGCTTCACTGAACTCACGAAGCACCTCAACGTTGTCGTCCCAAAATCACATGACCACGAGTCAACGATCTCAACACCTCAAACTTGGGCCCGTTCTCTCACGGGTGACAATCACAAAACCAACCGACAATGAACTCTGCTGTACCGCAGTGATCAAGTTCCTCTCGTTCACCACGCTGTCGTGAATGTGCGACAAAACAATGACCTTCACCCGACAACGCAAGCCCACCTCTTCAATCTCCCTACGCAAGCGACGAACTGCTGCAATATGGCCTGCAGGCAGATTACCAATGTGATCCACACGATCCGGAGGATTGGCACTCCGGTCAACGTGAAGGACCTGATGGTAGTCCAATGCAATCACCGGATCAGAACCCCACTGATTCGGCCTTTCTGCTGCCAGCCTCAACGTATCACCGTTCGCCCACACGTAAAACTTGGCTGAAGACGGAAAAGTCAAGGCCTCTCTGTAAACAATGTCAACTCGCGACCACGGGTGAAGAACGACTCCAGGCGCCGGGTGGTAGTACTTGAGGATGTCGTAAGGCCGATTCCCGGCAGGCGCGTCAACAACACTTGAAGCCGCTCGACTCGGAACTCCCCTCGAAGCTGCCGCAGAACTTGAGGATCCAGGCGAATGATCGAAGACGTACATGTATAGAGCCTTGAACGCAGCACAAGATGCTCGGCCTGCAACGAAGTCAAATCAACTGCCGATGTATGCGCAACAATCTCAACTTCGTCCGACTCCGCCTCACTTGCACTCGGCTCCCAATACCTAGAAGTTCCAAGTGGCCTTCTCTGACCGCCAGCGTGAACAGTCGGAATCGTCGCTCGATCGCCTCCCGAATTGACAATGTACGCTTCCCTGCGCGTCGCCGTGCGGCAGCACCTGACCGAATACCGCGCCTCGGAGGATCCGGAGGCGTTGGTGGCCTTCTTCCGGCGGTTCAGGAGGCCGCCACGGCCGACTAGGTGGCGAACGGGAAGGCTCTCGAGGACGCCGACTTGACACGCACGGGTTTTCTGTGGACCCCGCAACCGCACAAATGAAAGATGTTGTTGTGTTGTAACAAGAACAGGAAAACAATCAAAAGCCAATACGGCTGATAACCACTCGAACCGTTGAAACGGAACACCAACACAACAAACAACCGAAAGTAACAAGTAAAGTCCGTCGTGACCCCGACGAGGCAGCGGCTGCGGACCTTTTTACCACTTCAGCCAAAATTACAATGTTCATGAAGTGTGTCTATACATATGAGGTGTACTTTACACAGGAAACTTCAAGTATATCTCTTGTCAACTACAGTAGTTTCAGAGCAGATGGCACGGGACCTCCTAGATGTCTTAGACAGATGGGGGTCCATATAAAACACACCACCCTAACCTTGGGGGCCCTTGTGCCATCTACTCTCAATCCACAATAAAAGGATGCTCTGGAACTGGAGATCTTGTGCTGAAAACCCATTTCTTGGAGTTCCCGACAGATCTCCGCGGCAAAAAGAGTGTTTTTTTCACTCGAATCGACCTCTGCAAGCGGATGGGCGGGCGTGCGTTCTAAGCGTCCTTCCTCTCCCGGTGAGTCCTCCAACTGAAACACCGATCCGAGAGGCAGATTCACCTCCACAGAAATCGGCGCCTTTGCCTTGGCGCTCGAGTCGCGCGAGTCGCGAGTCGCGAGTCGACCACTTGCACCACGAGCCGGTGGCAGAATTCGAACCAGTGGGGCGTTACCGACCAGCAGAAGCACCGGACAACCATAGGTGGTCGGTGGCAACCAATAGACGATTGTGAGATGATGGTAACGCATGCTTTTTGCTGGAGACTAGACAGACCAAACAAGTATTGTATATATTTTTATATTTATATATATATAGAGAGATATAGATAGATTAAAATTAGGGTGGTTACGCCATCCTTTACACCGATCTGCATCTATGTAATTGTCCTCCAGTTATTGCTCTGTCTCTACTACTTCCTCTGAAACATTCTGAAACGACTATGGACAAGAGATGACCACAATACTACACTGCCTCATCTCATGCAAATCCAGAATGCACCACGTTGGATCTTTGGGCCTCACATAGATGTCGTTTAAGTTTAGATCAAGTCGGATCAGCATAAGCGTGGAGCCACCTTGCAATACAGTGTTTGAACGAGCAAACAAACATACATATTGAGAACACGTGAACGAACGTGCGAGCGCCCGTTTTCGCCTGCGTGGGCGAGTCTTGAACCTGTACGTTGCGGGTACCACACAGTCATGGGTACACCTTCACACCCTGCCTTTTCATGGCTAGGGGTTTCCAAAAGCTTCCCCTCGCCATGAAATCACTTCAGTGTTCATCTTTTCAGATGCACCTACTCGATTTCAGGCTCGGGTTCGTCAAGGATCATTGGGTCATCTCGACCTCGATCCTGCAGATCAAAAGCCGCTGCCGCATCATGCTCTTCAGAGCTGCTGCTTTCATCTCTCCGTCTCCTTTGTTGTCTTCTTGGTGGCATCCTGAATTCCCTCAGCATTCTTGGTGGTCCCCAATTTGCAGCCATCCAGCCGTCTGGCCATTCGCTTTCTTCCAAGGGGCAATTCACATCCTCATGCCCTTTCTTCACATGGTAGGTGTACTGCCTCAAGCTTCTGATGTAGTCAGTCACCTCTTTTCTTGTCTCTGCTCCAGTGATCATCAGCATCCTTTGGAGCTCTCTGAACATCTCGTATCCCGTAGGGATGTCTTCGTCTGCTGAATCTTCTTCCATCATCTGGCGAAATTGCCTCACCTTCATAATGATGTAAACTTCAATGCCCACATCATTCTCAATCTGCTCAAGCCTGTATGCCTGGTAGGCATCATCTTCCAGGTGTTCATAGTCACCCACTGGTTCGATGTGACCTTCCAGACTTCCATAGTCCGTCGTCAGGCTGTTCTCTGACTCTTCATCTTCATCTCTCTGCCTTCTTTCCTCCTCTGTCTCAATCCTCACCATTCTCACACGCACTTGTGTCTCGTGCACGTAGCCCTCATCGTCAATGTAAGAGCTTACTCTCACTTCACCATCTTGTTCCTGTGCTTCCTCTTCCATCTCTTCACCCCAAGGCGGGCCAACCTGTGAAACCTAATCCAGAGTCTCCTGCCCATTGAACCCACTGTCTTCCTTCAGGTTCTTCGCTTGTCTCGTCATTTTCGTGTCTGGTCCTGTGCCCTGATGGCCAGTTTGACCAATTCTGCCATTCTGTGTTTCCTTGGTTCTCCGGCCATCTTCTTGGAGTGTTCCACGTGCTCAAATCAATCCTCTCTTGCTCTTCATCTGAGGTGTAGGTCTCATCACCTCCGACTGCACTCCTCAGTGCTTGCCATGACGTCACATGTCTCCTCAACTATCTTGCTGCGTTCTTCAAGGCTTTCAGCAAGATCAGGATTGCAATGCTCGAGATCACAATGGCGATTGTCAATCCCATCACCACTTGCTCAAGAGTCTCACTTCCTGACTCCCTTCTTCCAAGCAATCCTTCTGGCTGCTTCTGCGGCTCATCCTCTGGAAAGCACTGCTGGTCTTCTGCCGTCGCCAGGCCCAAGGTTGAATCTGCTAGCAACGCCGTCATCGTGAGCCTCAGCAATCTCTTTGCCAGCTGGTTCGCCTGGGTGCTCTTCTCTGGTGTCCCTTCTTCTGCAAACACCATCCTTCTCACTTCTTGCAACCTCCTCTTCTGCTCAGCCTTTGCTCTCTCTGCTTCGAACTCTGTCTTGCCAAGTTGCTGTGAGGAGTCTGTAAAGCCCATAATGTACATCAACAGGTTGATGCGCTTGCCTCCAAGCGTCTTGGCGCCTATGTCAGATGGGTTTGTACCCGTATCCAATTTCCGCAAATCTAAATCTTTGCTCTGTCTCTGCTGGAGCCATAGTAGTCGACCACTTAGGTGCTTCAACTTTCCGACACCTTCCTTCTGAGCAATTGCTATGCTCGAACTGTTGTCGCCATAGATGACCAACTTCACCTGCTCACCTGTAAGGTGTTCGACTGCAGCTTTCAGCAACGAACCTTCTGAAGCTCCTGACACCAAGGCAACATACTCTGCCTCCGTGCTTGACAACGTGATGTTCTTCTGGGTTCTGGCATAGGAGTGAATCCAATTGCCTGCCAAGAAAATGCATCCTGCCGATGTCGAGCTTCGTGTCTGCTTGTTTCCTGACCAGTCTGAATCGCAGGTCACTTCCAGCAACCACATGTGCTCGGCTTCTTCAAACATGGGCGCTGTTGTCAGACCTCGTGTTCTGTTCCTGAACGAGTTGCTCTTCGTCTGACTCCTCATCACCAAATGCATGTCCATGGTTGTAGCCAAATAACCAACCAACTTCTCAAGAGCCTTCCATGCACCTTCTGCTGGACTTTGGAGTCGTCCTGCCAGTTCTTTCACATGAAACTGGATAGCTGGTCTGTCGCCGGCCATGTACAGCAATGTTCCAACTGCTGACCTGTACATTGGCTTCCTCCAGTCGTCCTCTTCCATGATCTTTCCATCCTCAATTCCGGTTCCTGGAGTTCTCGATCTCTTCAAGGGACTCATCATCTTCACAAGGTTGTGGATGTACTTCTCATTGATCACCATCATCTTGGTTTCTGAGACATCCACCATCAAAGTCCTCTTCAAGAAACTCAGCACTTGGTCATCCTCCACAGACACCTTGTGCGCTTCATGAGATGGTCACTAACTCTGGCCACTTCTTTCTCTTCTCCTCCAAGGATCATGTCGTCGACATGGACTAGCAAGATCACGTCTTGGCCTTTCCACAAAGTAGGCGCTTCAGCACATGGTGTGAGCCCTGCCTCAATCAGGCGCCTCAATCAGGCTTTTTCTCAGTTCTTGGAAACATTGTGCTGCACCTTCTCGTTGTCCTGGGAGAATCCGGCCTAGGATCCATTCTTGCTGAAGTCCAAGTCGCTCTGCCAATGCCTTGTCTAGACTAACTTTCACCTTTCGTGGCTACGCACACATCAGATAGGCGTCCTTGACATCCATAGTGATCATCTTCCAGCCTTTGACTTGACAAATGGCTGGGACCAATCTCAGGAGTGAGTGTCCTCCCGCTGGTGCAAAGACGTCTGTCCTGTTAGGATCACACCAGGCAAAATCACGCGCAACCAATCTTGCCCTTCTCTTCCATGCCAATCAGCCTCTGAATCTCTTCCTTTGTGGCTTCATCTTCAATCTCCGCAAGCTCAGCCTCTGGCAACTCTGGAGGTTGATCTGGAAGCTCCAAACTCTCATCTCCATCATACAGCAGTTCTCCAGCAACCACCATGCGAATTGTCGAAGCTGATGCTGGTTCCGGTTCATCCTTCTCTGAACTTGCTTTGGCCTTCAACATCTTCTTCGGTGCAGACCTTGCCACTTTCTTTGGCATTTCATCTTCCACATCTCCTTCTCCACCTGACCTCTTTGGACTATCCACAGGGCTTCTTCTTGGACTGGCTGGTGCTTTGTCAACCTCGCTCTCAACCATCGGCTCCTCCAAACTATCAAGCAGGTCTTGCAGCAACGTGTCATCTGTAATCACCAGACCTCCTTCATCCTTTTCTTCATCTGGTTGTGTTGGAGTGTAATCACTCATGTCTGGATCATCTCCTTTGCTGCTTTCTTCATCTGCCCCTGCCTGTCTCTTCTCTCCTCGTCCTTCTTCACCCCTCAGCCTCGCCTCACCTTCCTTCTTCTTTGCTTTCTCCTCCTTAGCCAACTTCTTCTCCTCTGCTCGAATTCCTGGGGCGAGATCTGGAGGCAATGGGACCGTAGGAAATTTGCCTACCAGCGAAGAAGCTTTAGCACCAATCTGCCCAAACCCAATGTTCCACGGCCAGAACTTCACATACGTCACGGCCTCAGGGTCAAAAGGAGTCGGTAGCCGTCTGATGGTTCTTGTCCACTTCAAACCTGCAGCTGTTGCTACCATGTGGAAATCTGCTCTGTCTGTCTTCCCAAGCCATAAGCCCGGTTCAAACTTGTCACTACCGTTGGCTCTCTTCACCCTTGCCAACACACGCTCACCAAAGACTGCAACTTTGCCGCCACAGTACTTTCTTCCTGTCCTGGTCTCATAGGCTGTTGGTCCACCTCCTTGTCTTCTGTAGTGTGTCAACAACCATCCAGCATGGCGCATAGCCCAAAGGAACACCGGCGAAGATGGCTTGATGTGCATCTGACAACCTTCTTTGACACCGTGCACCAATGTCCTCGCCATGCCTCTCACCGTCTGGATCTCTCTCTCCACACGACCATTGGCTTGTGAATCTGCTGGGCCACTGATCTCAATGTTTGTGTGGAATCCCAATCTCAACCTTGCTTGTTGAAGTACCTCCAACAGCATTCTCATCGAGGGTTCTCCATCTCCCTTGAGGATTACTCGTGAGAACCCCAAGCTCCCAATGAACCTCATCACCTGCTCAGCCATGAACTTCAGGTGGGCCCTGCCTTTCCCTGGTGTTGGCACACACAAGACTGCATGTGACCAATCATCTGTCACCACCAGGCATGTTCCTCCTCTCAAATCACCTTGGTAGATGCGCAGGTCTTCTTTCACTTCGACATCCACCTCATCATCACCTCGGCTGAAACAGAAGTCCATCGAGATCACGGGCATTTCTGCTTTTGCTTCTTGTCTTGAAGCATGCTTGGCGCTCAGATGACAATCGTCACGCCCTCTTCCAGCTATGCAATGCTGGCACCAAGGCTGGTATGGAAAGTGAGTCAACTCATGAACTTGTCTTTCCGCTTTCGAAGGCATTCTCGGCACTGACTGTCCTTTGGCCTCTTCTCCTTCATCAGCCTTCATTCTCTGAAATTCTTTCCTTGACAGCTCGATGCTCAGGTTCTCAGCAAAATGCTGATAGTGATGCACTAGCATCTTCCATGCCTCCTTCTTGTTCTTTCCTCTGCCAAGGCCACACTTTTTCAATGCTCTTCTCAACTCCCTCAACGACGAAGTCTCTCTATAAGCTTCACCTTCGACTTCAACTTCGCTGATCTCAGGATCAAGAGGGACTTTCTGGCGTCCAAATGGGTCGCCATCATCAATGGGCTCTTGTTCACCCATCTCTTCTTCATCATCTTCCTCCTCATAGACTCCATCTTCAAGGCTGTTGCCAAACCAACCTTCGACAACTGCACTTCCCTCCTTCTTCTTCTTTTCCTCAAGGTCGAACTTCTTGTAGATGTCGGGCCTCAAGAACGGTGAATCATCTCCTGGGCTTACCACTCCCAATGCCATGAAACCGTCCACCGTTTGGTGAAAGAAGCTAACTGTCTTCACTTCTTCACCTTCACATTCTTCAATCTCATCTTCGTCCTGCTTCTGCTCGGCCATTTCGACCAATTCCCAGAGGCCTGACTTCCAAATGACAGTTGACCTGTAAGGAAAATCACTGCGGGAAGGAGTCCTCGTAGAATTTCGTGCTCAATGTGACCAGAAAGGGGACTCTTCTGTCACTTGCGAGGTGCCGACCTGCAACGTCCAGCAATGACTTCAGCAATCTTGGAACTCCATGGTCACTGCCCTTACCTTGTTCTCCTCCATAGGCTGGTCCACAACTGTTCCAACCTTTCGAATTTTGGCGTCCACCACCAGTGAGTTGTGCCTGAACTGCAGGCTCTTGCTGAACAGACCGTGCGTCAATCGCACATCTCCACCTTCTCCTTCTATCTTCCAACCTCTTCTCAGCAGCTTGCCCAATGCAAGTATAGTGGTTCCTTGACGTTGGACAGGGCAAAACTCTCCCTTAGTTCGACCAAATGGCCGTCTTCATCCTCAAGCTCGATCATGGCTTGGCGCATGCCACCATTTGTCATCTTTCCTCCTTGAGCATCTCTCAAAGAAGTCACCCGATCAATCGGGAATCCCACTTCTCGGTAGCTCATGGGGAGCACCGAGATGTCAGCACCTGAGTCGAGGATCACCATCGTTCCATCTTCTCCAGCGACCGTGCGAACAAAGTCAACTTTGTTGCATCCCTTCCTGCGAGGCCTCGAACCTCCACCATCGACCAAGTCCTCAAAACCCACAAAATGAGCTTCTCCTTGGCCTTCACTAGGATCTTTGAACACGATCCAATCTTCATCATTGTCGCTGTAGGTGAGGTCATAGGTTTCAGTCCCCACCATCCGGACATGCCCAACTGCATTGTCCTCTTCATCCTCATCGAGGAGTCTCGACCCTTCTGACATTCTTCGAGCTTGTGGATGGCGTCGTACCTGATGCCTGGGCAACACTTGCACTGTCTCCCACTGAAGTCGTGACAGTGGAAGATGTCTCACTGACTTGCCTCAATGCCCTCATTGGACATTCTTTGCTCCAATGGCCTTTGCCGCCACAGAGCTTGCAGGTGTCTGAAGATACACCTTTGCCCTTTCCTTTGGCATCTTTGCCTTTGCCATCCTTTCCTTTGTACTCCTTGCCCTTGCCCTTGTAGTCCACATTGGCATAATTGCCAAAACCTTTCCCCTTCTGCTTGCCCTTGGACTTGCCGCCTTTGTCCTTTCCTTTTCCTTTCCCTTTCTCTTTACCTTTCACTCTGTCAACATCCATGGGGATCACCTCATCGTGCCTGTCGTGGTCCTTGGTGATGGCCAGTTCCTTGTAGATTGCCTGGCTCCCCCATGAAGTGGTGGTTCGCTCGTAGGCCAACATCTTCTCTCTGGCCTCCTTGTAGGACGTGTCCTCCGTCATCTGCAACTGCAAATTCTGTCTGACTGCAGCTGGCATCACCCTCAACAGTACGCTCAACTTGGTGTTGTCACCAATCTCCTCCTTGGCCACCTTGCCATACTCTTCAGCCAACCTCTCCAGACCAAGCAACTGCTCGAGCATGGTCATCCCCTTGTCCTTCGTGAAGTTGGGGTGGTTGAGGAAAGCTTGTCTTGTCTTTGGAGCCAATTGGAGACTCAGCTGCCTCCAAACCTCATAGCCATTGCGGCCTTCAACTGCCCTCAGCAACTTGAGAGGCCTATTCCGTAGCAGCCCAACCAAAATGGCATAGAGCTTCTCTGACCTTCCTTTCTCTTCTGCTTCACCTCATTCTCAGAGCCATCAATCGTATCGAGCTCCTTGTTGTAGGCTTCCTCAGCGAACGTGATCCAGCTTGAAGGCTAATCGCCAATCTTGCATTGGGACAGCTCTTCTTCCATATTCTTTGGCTCAAAGACCTCAGGAGATCTCACCACCTTTCTTTCCTTCTTTCATCTCTTTCAGCGTCTTGACCGCCTCCTGGGCCATCGCGGCTGACTGCTGGGTAGCGGCCACCAATGCTTTTGCCACTTGTTCATCCATTTCTTCTTTTCTTCTTCTTTTCAACTTCTTTTCTTCTTCACTTCTTCTTCACTTCCCTGGATCTTTCTTCTTCTCCCGGAGTATATTTATTGAGCCCCCCGGGTCGGCTCCGCTACCATGAAAACACGTGAACGAACGTGCGAGCGCCCGTTTTCGCCTGCGTGGGCGAGTCTTGAACCTGTACGTTGCGGGTACCACACAGTCATGGGTACACCTTCACAAATACAAACAACACAAAACAGAACAAAACAAAATAAAGCTGCTCAGCTGCAAAAAAAAGGAAAACGGCTTTAAAACATACCCAACGACGCCCTCCCGCGCCACGCGCAGGCCACGCGTCGTCCGGCTGACTGGTTTTGGGGTCGTCCAGCAGCCTTGAAAGATCTGGACTCCCGGAAAGGTCCTAGGTACGTGTTTGGGTTGCTGAATGTCTCAACCTATCGTAAGGGTCAACATCGCCGGACGATATCGCCATCTCCGCCATCTCTCTCTCTCTCTCTCTCGATCCTCTCCGTCTCGAGCAGCACAAGCAGCGCGACATCGAACCGTCTCCGAGCGGCCACCTGAAGGCCGCTATCGCGCAAGAGTTCGTTGGCGCCTCGGGACTCGGCCGGCAACACGCGCCGACGCGCACAACAACCCCTCGGCGACAGGCGACAGGGTTTTTTTGCTGGTGAAGTGGGAGGGGTTGAGCAGTAAGTGTAGCCAAAGGGGCAGAACCTGGTCGAAATGGATGTGGCTTTGAATTTCTTAGATCCAGAGATCCAGACAATTCAGAGATTACAAAGCTATTGCTACAGCCCGCGTTTCCCGTAGAACATCTGCAGGTATCCATGATGGCCGACTAAGTCAAGAAGAAAAGGGTTGAAGCTGAGCGTTTCCCATTGGCCTTCACCAAAGAACGCCAGGACTACTCCAGGAGTCATGAAACTGAACATCCTCTGTTGCCAGGTGGGTGGAGGAGGAATCTTTACCGCCAGCAGTTCATCTCGTCATCATCTCTTCAGCCGTTCAGGTTCGGTCCTTGCGTCCTTGGGAGAGCCGGTCCATCTGAACCGTTGGGTTCGGCACATTTCCCCATGTTGGGCACATCTGGCCACTAGGGACGGAAGAGGCCCTGCACTGTCTACGCGCGAGTGGTGCCGAGCGAGGCCCCAGGACCAGGACCGGAAGGGACTCATGTTTGGTGCGTAGGGATCCTGCAAGCACCTGCAGGAAGGGATCCTTCAAGACATGCACCAAACGACCCCAGCGACCTTTTATAGCATGAACTTTGGCCACACGCTGGTCGGCGGGTAAGCCGCTGGACATGCTCACGACATGCGCCGAGACACGGTCTACATCTTCGTTCATCTCATTGACCACTTCTGGCGGCGTTCAGTGGTAGGAGGCTCTTGAAGGCAATGCCCAGAGTAGGGTTGGTGCAGAAACTACCTCTGTTTGAGGGTGGACCATCAAGAGCATGCTATGGAGGTGTCCTTTCGATACTGAACTGTCATACTTAGCTGTGTCAATAAGGGCTAATATGAATGAAATCGCTTAGATCATGTTAGTTTTGGTGTTGTGATAAATGCATCCAATAAGTGGAACGATGTTGGTACTGCAAAATGCAGACTGGATCATCCAAGAGATATCCTTTCGATATGATATCTAGGTCCAGCCAGGTGACCACTAAATTCGGGACGTGGCCTCACCAGGCCCTAGTAAACCTAGTAAAAGTTCGAGCACTAAGGAGGAAATCAAGAAGTTTGTCCTAGTAAACCTACTAAAACCGAGTAAAACTACGTTGGTACCCGTTTGCCTCACCCATCGGTGTGGCTTGGCAGACTCGACTCGACTCGATGCATCGGTGTGGCTGAAACCGAGCCAACGGACTCGGTAGACACACCCGTGGTGCACGTGGAAAACTTTTAGGTGCACCTGCCAAAAATACTGAAACAACCCAAACAATCAATGCAACACAATGCAACACAAGCATGAATGGAGATAAATGGAGACGCTGTCGCGAGAAAATTGACATTAAATTCCCTGGGCAGCGGTTTCATGTCGTCCATGTCGCCCAGAAATTTGCAAGCAATCACCTGAAGGTACTCCAAAACTCAAACAAACCGACCGATCCCACTTTTTGGTGGATGTCCACATTCCTTAAAACCAAGATATAGTCATCACAACTGCAGAGGCCACTTCTTCACCCTCCACCCGATCCGCCGCGCCCGCCTCTCCAGGGCCGTGCTTCGGCGCAGCCTAAGTAGCGGATGCGAAGCCTCACCATGTCCTGACCGCGACGGGAAGTCGCGGAACCGCCGACCCATTGGGAGAAGTCGGGGCAAGGGACACCCCAGGCGTCAGGGTGGGGTGGGGTGGGGTGGGGTCGGATTACATGGCGGATGATGCCAGGATTGATGGGCATGGTTTATGGATATTTATGGTGTTAACGTCACTTTGAGTGCGTGAAGCTTTCAGGAGTGGTGCCACAATAATCTGTCCCACGAAGGAATAAGGAATGCGATCCTCAGGGGGCCTCCCAATTTCACAGGATTGGTTTCTCCAAAGCACCGGGGAGGAGAGCCCCGTTCGGGACCCTTCTCGCCATCCAAGGTCGGTGGTCTGACCTGCTTTTGGGTGTATATAGCTTAATCTATAGGGAGACCGACACGTTGGCGTTCCGACCGCCCCCTGGAAGCTTCGCGACCTCGACGACCCCCGGGGGGGAGGGCCACCCGACCCATCACCATGTTCCCGCCTGCACCGCCTCGGTGCACACACGGAAGAGGCCCTGGGCCGGGCGGGGCTTGAACACCGGACTGGACCGTTTGAGAGGCCCGAGACTCGAACGAGGGAAGCACCCAGAAAGCAACGGACCCGAACATCGTAGTCATATAACCAAATACATCCCAAATACCATTCAGGTGTCTTGATCTGGAGTCATGTCTGGTCCCAAAAACTCGCGACAGAGTCTCCTAATGTTTCAAGCCACAGATGAGTCTGTAGTGTAAGAGAAACTGAGATTCCTCTACTGTATTTAAATGAGAATGGCCAGAACCGGCCAGAACTGACCCAATATTTGACCCAATAAGTTTGGTTGGTGAATGCATTTGCCGTGTGGTTTGTTGGTTAAAAAATTGCGCATCATCTCAAATACAAACACATACAAACACCATAGCATGCAGTACTGACATATTATATACATGTTAGACACATTGCATGACCAAAGTTCCTGTCATCGAAACACCATGCGTCGGCGTGGCTTTTACAAGGACTGGCCCCGCACCGAATGGATGTCTAGCCCGCTCGTCCATTCGGTGAAGGTCTGCCGTTCAAACTGACATGGGCCAGGCCGTGAGCGGATGGCATGCCCCCTGTCGTTCGGAAGACCATGGAAAACCGAAGACCAAACAGGGGGATTCATGGGTGTTCCACTTCAATGTTAGCTTCAGAGAGAGTACCATCCGGCTGGTTTGGCAATTTCCGGTGGATGTCACGTGATTCCTTGGCTTCCCGAATGGATGTCCAAGATGGCGAAGATCATGGAAGATGTCATGTGGCCTCCCTTGGATGTCTTCGAATTCTCCATCTGTGGGCGGTCTTTTAGGCTGGTAGACCATCCATCAAATGAGTTTTCCAACATCCAATGCCCAAGGACTTAACTTCAACCAATATTATCCTGATCATATTTGGGTACGCGGCACGTACGTGGACGTAACGAAGCCTCGCATCGCCTCCCTGGAATCCGCCTCCTGAGAAATGAAGCCCAAGTTGTAGACATGGATGGCAGCTCCGACGTAAGTGCCTCAGGAAAAATCGCTCTGCAGAAGAAGACAGATCACCACATCAGATGCCCAGCAGTTCCTACTCGGTCGCCAAGATTGCCAAGGGAGACATTGACATGTTGCTGAGGTATTTAATCGACACTTCTACTATCTTCTACTACTGTGTGGTTGTTCAAGCCAAACCAATCAACATGTGTATGGTTCGAGAGCCCCTTGTAATCGTGCTGTATCTCTTGTGTTCTCTACGGTACAGACTATACCTATACCTATATATATATTATATACTATTCTTCCAAGGATCCTCTCTGTTCATTTTCTAAAGATGGACCTCGAGCCCAAAGTACAACCAATGTTCTCGATCGAGTACCTAGCTCCGGCTCAGCTGTCGGAGTGTTCGCTCAGAGTCACCTGTTTGTGTAGTAGAGGAACATGGTCGTCCGACGGCCCATTTCCACTTCTAGGGATTGGTAGGTCACTTTACATCTCCCCAACAATCCACTTCATGGAATATGACATACATGGACCCCTTCAAGATCTCGTGTAGGCAAACCTTCCATACATGGAGTGTCGAGTGTCGAGTGCCAACTTTCGGGGTGGCCACACCGGCTCCATCCGAATCCTTACCATTTTTGCCTGGTCCAAAGAACATGAAACAAATCAAAAAAAAGGGTTTGGTCTAAGGGTTTGGCTGTGGGAGGGACAAAAAAAATATTTTCCAATCCCCCCCATTCCACATCCTGGGCCATCCAAGCGGTAGAGGTAGATGCCTCTGGAGGCATACTCCTTCTGGCCCCCATCGACGAGGACTTTTCGGATCAACGAGGGTGTCTTTTGGTCTCCGAGAAAGCTGGAGTCACTCAACGAAAAGAGGTAGAGTGATCAAGTCAACTGGATCGTAGTTGCATCTTGAAAACGTCTCGAAAACAGCACCCCGAATGTGCCCTGGCGTTTTTCTCCTCCTTCGCCAGAGCATGATCCTCGAACTTCTCCAACTCACTAAGCTGCTCAGCAGGATCTGCCACCTACCGACCCGAGCTGGTGGCCAGCAGCTTCAAGGACCAAGAGAGGTTATATAAGTGACCGCAAATACGACCCGTCACCTGGGGTCCCTTAGGGATACAGTACGTCGTCTATTTATATATAATATAGGGTTCTTCAATCTCTGTTGGGACCGTCACCCAATTCATCCACCTCTCTCTGACTCCTGAACAGAATCACTAGCAATTCCATATACCGGATCCATCTGCCGTTCCTCCCACGGAGATCGCAACAAAGAACATCGAGGTGGAGACCATGCCGTACCTGGTGGATGAAAGCAGCGGAGACCATGCCGCCCCCGCCGGTGCCCTCGCCACCGACGTTCATCCTGGTCAGCTGCTCCGCACACATGAGGTCCCCTTGGCCGTTGTCGCCGAAGAAGAGCATGGAGCACTCCTTGGTCATCGAACGGTGGAACGCAACACAGGGGCCATAGTGGAAAGAGAAATCCTGAAAAGGGAGGAACGCACACGTGTCCATTGGGAAAGATTATGACTGGAAAGTGATAGCTGTAATTAAGATTGCAATAGATTGCAGACGGTCAGCCTGTCCCAATCACTCGCTGCCCGAGATCAGACGAGGTTTTTTTATGGCACAAACTACGTAGGTCCAACTCCTCTTAGAGCCCAAGGCACACTGTACAATTGCCGGTACTCCATGAACGATTTGATCCTATCTTCTCCAACAGGCCTCCAAAAATCCTGGGCAAACGCTGCAGCTAGCACGCGGCTCTCCGAGCTCAAGTGAGTGGTCCGGAGGAAATATCCAGAAATACCGAAAACACTGCCCTTATATATATAATATGACCCAAAACATGGACCCCGTACATCATACTAATATTATGTATATATAGGTACCTTAGATTGTTTCACCAAACGGCCACCATCTTCTGCCAGTGAGAATCCAGCCGATGGGAGCTCTCAGGAACAAGATCCAGGAGAGCTTGGTGGGCCAAGGTCACAGGTGTTAACTTTGACGAACAGTTGGAACAGCAAACTGACCATTCAAACACATCCAGACCATTCAGATCTTCAAATTGCGACTGACCACCGCGATCTTTGTTTACTGACTGTTACAGGTAATAGGACAAACCCAATGTGTGCAATTGTCTTCCTGTGCAAACACTTGCTCCTAGCAAACCAGAATCGGACACTTGGCACCAACGAAAGGGCAAACCCGCACCCCGGCGCTTTTTCTGGGTGTCATTCATTTCATTCGCATCCGATCGAAAGCCTGTGGCTTATATGGAGTCAAGCAGCCAATGCCAAAAGCTAAGTTCGAGTCAGGTCAGGCTATGATGAAACCGCAGCCCGCAATTGCTTCAGTGAGCAATTCCTGACCGTGAGGGTGCCGTGGCTGGTGGTCACTTCCGGACACACAGGCAACCCTGGTCGATGCATTCCGCTCGAGTCCTTGTTGGGACCCCAGTATGGCAGCCTACCAGGCTGTACATCATGGACCTTCTTTGCCTTCTGTATGGCAACGGCCCAATCGTGAAGCTGCAAAAGTGCCCTACCCCTCGGCTCAGATGACAGGAACTCGCACCACCAGCACGTGCACACCTGGTCCATGTCATTCTGCATGCCCCACAGGAAGACCAGTCCAAGCAAAATGCCGACCTCCATGCCTTTCCACTCGCGGTAAAAGGATTGCACATCCTGCGCAATGGCTGCAGCCCCGGCACATTCCTCCCCTAGGGCCATCAAAGAATCCGGGTCTGAGCGAAATGAAACTCCGGATTCCTCCAAATCGTCCTTCAGGGTCAGGAAGTCCTGTTCAAGGGCAAGGACATCGTCACGCTCAGCTCCAAAAACCTTGCAAGCACTTCCTTGTAGAGGTCCTTCAGGTCAGTCGGAGCGCCTGCCTCAAGAGCACATAGGTGTGGTTCCCATTGCCCACGCATTGCCTCCTGTTGGTGCACACTTCGAATTTCTCTCCTCACCTGCATCTTGGGAAGGTACAACTTGACTTTCTGCCACAGGTCACGGGTACTGCCATGCTCATCAAGATCACTCCAACTTCGTTTCAATTGGTCAAAGAAGAGATTGGCATCACGACGTAGCAGAGTAGTCGCCCGGTTCCTGACTGCGCGGAATTGTTTGAGGGCCCATGCCCATGGGTCCGTTCACAAGCAGCAAGCCAGTCCCAAGTCTGTGGTGTAGAAGCACATGCCCATGAGCGGAAGCACACCCTTACGTCTTCCTGTGGAAGCGTGGTCTACCAGGAAGAATCGCAAGCACGCCCCGCTGAAAGCGAGTAGCCAACTCATGAGCATGTTGGCGCATATCAAGATGCCAAGGAATTGGAGGTATGGCGGCAACCGCCTGCTGCATCAGCTCAACTCCTTGTTCAGCGTCCAGGCGTTGTCTTGGAGCGGCCCGCCGACTACGGACTAGTTCAGGCTCACCACGTAGGACCGCTTGTAGTTGCATGCAAGTAGCATGGTGATCATGCAAGTGCTGATGGGCTTGCAATCCAAAATTAGTGCACGTGTGCAAGTCTGAAGTGGCCCACCTGAGAGGAATGGCAAGGTAATCGAGACGAGCCGTAGCACCATTGGGGTGAGTCCATGTGTGCGTAGGTCCGTAGTCCGGAGTGGACACCCTCAAAGGTAGCCGGCAGAAACAAGCCTGCACGCTGCAGGAACTCATGTAGAAGACCACCAGCTACTTTCTCATCCTCCTCACCCAGACTACCAATGGCACTTGATGTGGTGCTATCTACTCTGGCATTGAAGTCCCCCATGTCCCGAAGGTGAGGTGGCACAGCCTGCTGGAAGTCATGCCAAAACTGTATGATCTCATCTTCAGTATGGCCACTGTGGGGAACATGAAGGTTGGCAATGAGCACATCCATCGGTCCAGCTTTCAAGGTCTCCTCCAAACGGCACCTGTTCAGGAAGCACAACAATGCAATCAATCTCCTCGCATCTACAAGGCGTCTCCCAGAACGCAAAGAGTTCCCTGGAGTTGATCCTAGAAGAGGAGTCAGGGTACTCCAGCAAAATGGACCCTTGTAGAACAAAGTGTTCCGTCACAGCTTGCATCATGATTGGCAACCTGTAAGAGTGTTCGTCCTGATACAGGATCATGTCTTCAAGTGGGGGCCCATCAGCCACACGATCCACAATCTGCACAGCAATTTGCTTCTCATCGCCTAAAGGCTGAACAAAATGCATGTATCGTTGGGATGTCGTGCAAAAGCTGGCAGGCACCCCTTTCAGCTCGTCACTCTTTGGGTAGTGGCATGCACTGAAAGGATGTTTCCAGAGGCGGTACAAGCCTGCAGTCAACGTCTGCTTGTACTCGTACCAGTTTATCGGAGAGCTCCTGACCAGCTGCATAAAGGTGGCCAGATCCTCCGTCTTCTCAATCTCATCAACTTGTCAAAGCCGTCCATGTCTTCATCATCAGCCAACTTTGGAAGGCGTGTCTGGGGAAAGGGGCCGGCCAGTGGGTATGAGCCACCGCGCCCACGCTCCAATAGTCCAGAGTCCCTCTGGCTCATACGCAGCTGCTGATGCGCAGTTACCACCAACACTCTCAAGGCAACCACAATAAACGACTAGAACCCAAATGGACCCTCCAAGATTCAGAGGAAAAACTCTACGTGGCTTCAACCTACCGGGAGTGTCCCCTATCACAAAATCCTTTTGAAGGCGGTCCAGGAGCCAGGTGCCAAGAGACCATGTGAAGAAGCTCCTCACTGCCCTTGAGAAGAGGTCCACGGAAAAGAGGATGCAGCACTGCCAAAGCGCCACTTCCCAAGATCCTCCAAAGTCACCACCTGGTTCACCTAGAAATTCATAAAGGAACAATCCGCACAGAATCAGCATGCAGGTCAACTGACCATCTCCACATCCCCATGGAGGCCAAGTGACATCAAGCACATTCATCTGCCTGTCCCATCTTCGGTTTTCACTTTCTTCGGAATACCCCCAAGCTGAGTGTCCCCTTGTCTTGTCGGTGATTTGTGCGCACGGCCAAATGTTGGCTTGGCATTGGGCTGGTGCTCCAACTCTGCATCCCGCATGAGCTCCTCCTCTGATTCCAGGTCCACCGGCTCCGTGAGCTTGAACTCTGGTACATCCGGGGCGTCTATGACATCCTCCCTTGCACCCTGCTGAAGGGCTGATGTGCGGATGCGTTCCTGAATATCCACCAGCTTCTGCCTCTTGGCTTTCACCTCCTCCAAGGCAGACTCCCTCTTCGTGCGGTAATCCTCGCGCTCGAGGTTGTAGGCCATCTGCAGGCTCGGGTTGAATTGTACCCACTTGCCATCGACTTCTTTCAAATGAGCCTTGGCTGCATCGTATTGGTTTCTCGCGGCCGCTTGGCCTTGTTGAGGTCCGTGTGCGTGATCTCCAGCCTGGGGCCCTTGGGATGGGCCCGAGCAGCGGCAATGATGTCCTGCTCCAACTTGAGCGTGAATGCCGACACCATACTTTTCGGTAGGCTTTCGATGTGGGCACGAACCTCTGGCGCCACCTCCTGTAGCTCGTCGGCTGGTTTGGGAGGTGGCAGCAACTGCGCTGGTGGAGGAAGTTCGAGACTGTCCTCCGGCTGGACTTTGGCTAGCCGTCCATCTGGTGTCGACTTCTGCCATGGTTGACCCAGTCCATCCCACTTCATAAAGGAAGGCAACATAGATCCCTGGGTATCTGACGGCTTGGCCTCGTCCTTCTTGGCATTGTTCTGGCCTTTGCTGGTAGCCCTTCGTTTCTCCTGCGACTGGGATCTCGACTTGGCTCGACTGCATTGTTCCCACCATCCACGGCACTTGGTGCAATGCGTCTGCATGTAAGTCATCCTGACATTGCAATGTCGGCAATCCCACTTCTGGTTTTGGAGACTCATATTGGCTGGTGCGTGTGAGCCGTGATGGGTGTCGAGCAGCTCCACCGCCCTCCTTGCACGCTTTCTGGCGCGTGCTCCCACAGCTCTGTTGCTCAGCCTTCTGAGAAAGGGCCTGGCACGATGTCGTCGACGCCGCAAGTTGCGGTGCCAGCCAGGCTCCTTCAAATCCAGGTGTCGTCGAGAAGACGAGGCCACCGCAAAGCCACAACAGCGGCAGCACCCTAACCATGCAGGGACGCTACCTAAGGGTCACACCTAACCGTCCGTCACACGGGCATGTAACGGACAGCGCGGAACCTTTTCTTTTCTGGGTGTCAGGAAAAAAGAAGAGAAAAACATCCAACTGCCCGCTACCCGCAGCCCAGGTCACCGAGTTGAGCGGAGGAACATTAACACGGCCTTCCTTCCTGGGCTCCGATGCAAAGATGCGGAATGTGCGGCGGATGCGGAGTTCGACGCGTCCAGACCAGGCGCTCGGAGGTGCTCATGCTGTGGGATCTGTGCGAGCCTTGGGCCCTGTGGAGAAGGATTCGGCGGTTTAGCCACTGGCTGTTTAGCCGAAAAGCATCGAAAAAGCATCGAAAAGCTAAAGTTTGGGTCGTACCAGCTCACCAAATCACAGAACCAGGGATTGTTTGGGCCAGTTGGATTGAGATTCCATCGTCTTCAGTGCATGTCACATTTCAACCATGAAGAACTTGGATCTGTACAAGATCTGTATAGTTGTTGGCAACTCCCTTTCTGTATCGCGCGTATCACCCTTTCCGGCCTTTTTTGTTGCTACCAAATAATATCGAAAGTACATCCAATGATATCCGACATGGGAGGTTTACCTGGGGCTGGGTTTTCCGTGTCAGCGACCGTGTCACATCGTCCAGTGGTTCGTTTTCGGTGGCAGAGAAAGGCCGTCTTCCAGGAATCCATATGAAAAATGGAAAGAAGTTCCGGGGGGCTATCAACGCCCCAAATCACCTCTCTAATGGGCTATCAATAGAAACCCCTGGTTCGGGGTCCTGGTTGGGTCCATTTTTCAGGATCTATGATGTTCCTTCTCCGCCGGGGTGAACAGGCAGGCAGCCCTGTTGAGCCAGCACAGCTTCCTGTGATGCTGCCAGGGGGCCGCAGGCTGCTGATCGCAAAAAAGCTCCAGATGACCAATACAGCAAAGGCAGCAAAAGCAAAGGTCAAGAAAGTGAAGGGGAAGATCATGGGAAGAAGACCCAAGCCTGGATGCTGGTCGCTTTCTCAGCCCGGCACCATAAAACCACACGAGACGCCCGCTGTGATGGATATGTTGCTTTCCATGAAAGCTCCCGTCTCACCGGGCGTATAGATGAAAGCTACCTGGTCCTCAAAACCGCAAAAATCCCCAAACCATGCTCCGGCGAAAAAATGTCCTCCCCAGGTTCGCAGGCGTGGCCGTTTTCGCCATGGAAGGCCACCCTTGTCACTCTTCTCTACTTTTGTCACCTGGCTTTGTCACGTCCTCCCACGCCACGTCTGTTAGCTGCCTCATAAGATTCTGGACAGCAAAGTGAAGTGAGCATGTCTTCTTTTTCATCCAAGTTCCTACGGAGACCCAGCTGTTCATCGCCAGGATGCAGCACGAACAAAGAAAGACTTTCAAAGAAGCTCCAATGAGCGTGGGCCGTGGGTACCGGAGAACCTGAGCGAACATTTACGGCTGGCCAGTTGGACTTTGGGAGGAGGCAGTTCCTTAAATTCTGGTCCAAATTCTTCAACCCAAAGCATCTCCAGCGTTGCCAAACCCCAAACCAGCGGCCCCTGGATGCTTCTTGAGCCTCGCGAGGCACCAAGAGGGAAGAAAAACCAACCCGATGTTTCTGGATTCAACATCCAGCAGTTCCAAAGAGGTGCGATCCATGGAGGTAGTCGAGGTGCCCAGAACATCCACTCACTGGATGGAACTAAACACCACCCCTTTGTGACTCCTGGATTAAGATAATCGGTTGATTTTCTCCTATCTTCCTCGGACCTCCCCAGTCCATCGTCGTCACCCGCCGCCTTAAAGCGGCGTCACCGGGTTACCGGCGGCTTGGGAGAGAGGGGCGTGTTCCAGCTTGCGCCTGGTGGTGTGCCAGCCAGCTGCCTGTTCGAGCTCCCATTCCCCCTTCCCTGTGGGCCTGTATCTCCACCATGGCTTCCGGAGGCCGCCACCCCCTCCCAGCCGAACCCGACTTCCGCTGGAGGTGACCTCCATGAAAATTGCTCCAGGTGACCACTCCAAAGATGGCTGCCAAGCCCGAGGACTTGAGCTTTCCAGCCCCCAGAAGCGTGGGCATGCAGTGCCTGAGACTTCAGATTTGGAGCGAAAAAGAACTGCGATCGTCATCGACTTCTTCTCCTCCAGCTTTTGGCCAATCATCTGTGCTTGGAATCTTCGGACCCAACCTAGGTCCGAACCTGCGGGGATCGCAATACACGACCCCAGCCATCCGCCATATACGGACGAAACCAGGCGGAAGAGTTTAGGGTACCTTCCAAATTTCCGGTCCCCACGAAAGTGATTCTGCTGCACCACGACAACCCGGTCAAACGAAAACCCATCTAAACCCGGTCGAGGATCTGTTTCAGCCTTTCTACCCTTTAGGCCTTCGTTTGGCGAGGGGAGAGTGCGCCAAGCGTCGGTGCCCAAGGTTCGTGGTCAACCCTGCCAACCCACAACCCCCCTCCCTGCAGCTCAGTGCAGTGCCGCACCGCCTTTTTTGCCAAAAAATCGGAATGAAAAAGGGCCATGTCTCGGAAAGCCCCCAGCGGTGGATTTTCGACCCACCCGGATGCGTTTCACCGAATTGGAGGGTCGGAGGACCTACAGTAGATGTCTGTCGCATGAGGTCGGACGTCTTGATTCTTTTCAAGTAATAGTAATTTTGGGCCAATCTGTCTATGGAACGGTGGCCTGAGTCCACTCAGTGCCTTTGGCTGTGGCCTCCCTTCAGTGCCATTTCCGTGCTGGATCAGTTCGCTCTTTTCGACCTCCAATTCTGGTGGAACTCCCAGGTACGCACGTCTTGCGATCCACCAGCTGGTTGGCTCACGCCCATTTCTGTCGGAAAGCGGCGGTCCTGCGTGTTCTTCCCCAGTCAACAAGTGTCCGATGGGGTACGACCAATGGTGTCTTGTCTGGCCTTCGCTTGGAATACTCCTGTGACGCCTGTGTTCGATGGGGTGCCCTCACCTGTGCCCCTAAACAGGAGTTGGTACCAGTGATTCCCCTTGGTTGCTCAGCTACTCGCTTGCATATTTTCGGGTTTTCGCAGAATCCCCCCCTACCCTGCCTAGCAACAAAAAACGAATTTGTCCTTTAGACGGTTTTCCAGGAAGTGTGTGTGTTGGCCGATTCGAAGAGAAACTGGTCAACACTAAGTCAACCCTGCCTGTAGTGATTTTACTCATGAACTACAGTAACTACAGGTGTGGTACTGGTATCATCTGGCCCACGAATTGGTGACATTCTAGGAGTGTTTCAGCTCCAAGTTTGCTCGTCAAAACCCGATTCTTGCAAAGCAACAAAAGTAGCGCATAAAATAGCATTTGACACTGTTTTCCAGATTTGAGATCGTTTTGGTGAACTTTTTCTCTCAGAAAAGCCGGGCCTCGCAAACAAGTCAAAGTACAATTTGATCTGAACTACTCGACATCATGCCCACCTAGCCTTGTACAAGTGAGTCTTTTTGAAAGGCAATCTGTCCAGGTAGATGAAACCCCATCCGAGCCCGAACCATTTTGGACATTTTTGGACAAGGTCCCCATATCAGCTCGGATCGTTGTTTCCGAGGGGTTGCACCATCTCTAACAAATCCAAGTCATCGTTCTGGTCTGTTCTTTCTGCTATCCAAAGACGTAGCGTGGCTAACAACCAAACTACCAAGCCCGCAACGAAAGGACCTCTGCTTTGGCCAAAAAAGTGCTTGTATATGTCTGTGGTATAGGCATGTATAGGTTGCCAAAATGATGGGTGATCCGCGACCACCGATGAGCTAGCAGCTAGCCAGTTCAAAAGTTCGCTGACTCAAGTCCCTCGAGTCAGATTCCCCGCGCGGGGCTCAAGGCTAAGGGCAGCCAGCACCCGCAGAAGAAACACCATCAGAAAGCGAAGCCGCACCGAGCATTCTTTTCAACTGGGTCTGTTCCACACACCGTGACGGCAAAACTGGTCTTCTTGTGAAGACATTCGGGATAAGACTACGTCCGTACCGCAGGTCCGTTCTTCTCTTCCTCAGTGGCCTGAAACATCGATCAGCCTGAAGAGAAGAAAAGCTACTAGGAACAAGAAGCTACTAGGGGCTCCTGGCATCGCTACTAGGAGCAAGAACGCTACTAGGTTACTAGGGGCTCCTGGCTTTACTACTAGGAACAAGAAGCTATTAGAAACAAGAATTAGAATTAGAAGGCACAACGTCTTAAGAAAAGCCTTTTAACGCAAAACCGCGTGAAGGCCGGAGCTGTCGGGAGACGGCACCACGGACGCCACCAGTCCGCGCCGACCGCGGGGGGACTCGCCGCTCCGGACCTGGGGACTCGTCCACGGGCCAACCCCGGTCCGACGAAAATCCCCGGTCCAGTGGCTGATGTGAAGCAGGAAAAGCATGCCAACCTCAGATCTGCAAGAGTTGGGCCGACTGTACATCGTTCAGTACGTGAGTACAAATAATCTGGTGCGCTAAACCCGATTCATGTCCCCCCCAAAACAGTTTACCATTGAGTGTCCTCTTCTTCTCATGGCAGGTGCATGGCATGCGGACTGAAGAAGTGGCACCTCTCATTTCAGAAAGAATGCATGGCATCACATGCAATTCATACGATCAGTCATCAAATATCTATAGAGCTGCACTCTGAAAAAAAAAAATATAAAAAAAGAACTGCTGCCGTCTTTGGAAGAAGTGTGCACACATATGTCACTCACACGATCTCACACGTTTCCCAAACCATGTCATCGTTCGCTAGGGAATCTTAGCAAAAAATGGATCCAGCACCAGGCAGATACCGGGCAGATACCGGGGTGTCCCAAAAGAAAATTACCCAACCAAAGGGGGTCCGTGGAAACCACGAAACGTCGTCGGTCGCCTCCGAGGCGCTCCCGAGTGACCAGCTGGAGCGTTTCCAGCGTCTGGACGCGGGGTTTCCGGGGCTTCGGGAGGGACGGTGGGTTCCGGGGAGGAGGATGGACACCGGGTGACCAGTGACCCTGTTCCACTCAACAAATATGTCACCATTAAAAGAAACCAAGGGCCGATGTTTGTTCATACCCCGTGGAACCAGACAAGCGCTATTTGATGCATTTATAACTATAAGACTTCTAAAGACTTTCCAAGCAAAAGTGTGGGAGAACTTCGGAGCCGCTTTCAAACGGTTTAAGCCGTTTGGGGCAGGCTGTCCGTATGATACCAGGTGGGTCCAGGGTCTACAGGTTCCGCATCCTCCACAATTATGGCAATCAGATTCAAGTAGTGTCTGTACTATAGTGACTATAGGCGAGTCCCGCTTTCGACAATTTCCGACTCCTTATGGGGCCACCATGAACCCTGCACAGGACACCTTATCCCCTGTACAATTTAATTCAATTTGTGTGTTACAGTGTTACATAATAACATATTCTTTTTCAAAGCCCATGTGGATTCGGCAAAAGATTGCAAAAGTGAAAGACCTTCTCGGCATCCTCTACTCTCCTCTCCGATCCTGACCACGGCTGATCGGTCGGCGGTGCCCAAACGCCTCGTCCTTTTCCTCATAGCTTCTTTTGAAAGGCAAGAGACCCATTCCCCAGTCTGGCGCCGCGAGGACCATCCGTCCGTCCGATGTTCGCTCGCTCGCCCGTCCATCGATTCATCGATCGCGGCGACGCGACGGCACGTCGCCGAGTCGGTCACAAGATCGAGAGAATGGTCACTGAAACTATATCGCTCATAGGGGGGTCATCGCAGAGGGGGTTGGAAGATCAATGAATACATCGGTTTAGCCGATCGTGCGGCCAATGACGGAATTGATCATCTGATTAGAAATTCGGATGTCAACTGATGATTCAATGATTGATTGGGGTATTGGATGGTATTGGTAACACACACACTTTCTGGGCAAACAGTGCTGGGCTCGCTCTTTGACTAGAACTCAATCGACTGTAGCTTTAGGCTTCATTGTCGAAAAGGGACACTTTCCTCTGAGAAGGAGCAGGACGTAGACGAGAATCCCAACTGACAGCCAAAATGTAGGGCGATGGAAATTCCATGCAGTGGAAGACCATCCCATCAAAAACGCACTTCTTGCATTCTCCCGAGTTCGCACCATGGAATATCTCTATCTCCATCTCCACTGCAGACATCACCATCTTCCATCTCATCCCTGTCACGGTCGTACGGGGTCGCGGTCGCGGTCGTACGGTGTCGCTGGTACGCGCCCTGCAGATCACAAAGCTCCAAGCCAAAGTTGTAAAACTCGGCATCCGATAAGCCGGTGACGTTTGCTGATGGAATCCGAAACCAACATGGCGTCTGATTTCCCCACCCTGAAACAGGGCCCCCCAAAAAAGGGCCGGCGAAAGCAAAGGCTCTACAGACCCCAAAGGGGCGCTCTATCCTCTTTGGATCCTCTCGGTTTCTTTGTCACATGCTTGCAGACCCTTCGAGTGGCGTGGCGCAGCAGCAGGTGGACAAAACGTGTGACAAAACGTGATCGGATGGGAAACGCCAAGTCAACACACACCCCGTGGTGCCGCGTGTGTAAATGGCACAAACCCAAGAGTTTAGGGTGTTATTTGGAGGTTGGCAGTGGGTTTGTCAGTGGGTTGCTCTGACTGCTTCCCGTTCCTCTTCACAAGTCCAGTCCCACAGTAGCCCAGGTCAAGCAACACTCCGTGCCACGAACAAGGCGGGACTCGGCAATCTCTTCAGCTCAGAGTGAACGAGCTTCTGCCATCGCGGTGGGCGGAGTTGGGTAGGCTGAGGTGTGTCGGTTCAAAACGCAGTGGAGGAGTTCTCAAGAGAAACATCAGAGATGGGAAATGGTCGAGTTTTTTTACCAACAGGAATGCCCACCCTTGTAGAAGGAGGGACTTCGAAGAACTTCTTCTGCAAGTACCAAAGGCCACGCCCGAGGGTCTCCCAGTTGAGGCCGAGACCCCAAACGGTGAGGGGGAGACCCTATCCCTACACTTTTGAGGCCGGGGCATATTTCAACGGATTTGAGGGGAGCACTTCTCCCGAAAGCCAAGGCCGGGCGGCCGGTGACCCTCGCCGGGGCGGAGACTTCTCTCCCCAAGTCTTTAAGTTCCGCCAGAAGTCCAGCTACCACATGCTACATCATGCTACACTACCACCAGCCCAGCTACACTGGAGAGCCACCGACAGCCCGACAGCCAGTGATCTTGTGCGAACTTGAAAGTACTACCTTCAAACCCTCTCCCTTGACTAAGGCATGTTCCACGTCTCAGCATTCTTATGCATCAGAAGCTTTCCGCTGCCCCGCTGTGGTGAATCTTGCAATGTTGTTTTTTGGAAAAATATACGAAGAGAACCCTGAAATGGAGTACAAACATCTTGAAAAGGCTCAGGCCAAACCAGACAAAAGACCCAAACACACACACTTAGGATAGGGTGTACTGAACGGAAAGCGGTGCCACACGCCGGCCTAGGGTTCCATTTCCTAAGGGTACAGGTATGGAGGCCTAGAAAGGAAGAAGAGGTCCCTCAAGTTCAGCAAGGCCATCAACGCTAAAGGAGCCATCGAGCGATCGATCGACAAGATGACGGCGGTCCGTGCACATCTGCAGAACTCAGTAGCCCTTTACGTGAAGATTGGAGTGAAAGCTTGTCAACACCACAACCAAGCAGGCACGTCGGAGTGATCAGCTCCGATATCCTCCCAACTCATGAGCAGCTT